CTGTCGTTGATGCCAAGCCCCAGGGATGGTTCATTATTGTCACTCTCAATGGTTCACAGCTCAACAACAACACGACCGCAGGCCAGGCGCTCGTGGTGGAGATCATCCTCACCTTCCAGCTGGCCGCGTGCATCTTTGCGTCCACGGACAACCGGAGGAACGGCAATGTGGGCTCCCCAGCACTCTCCATCGGCCTCTCTGTCGCTGTTGTGCCAAGCCCCAGGGATGGTTCATTATTGTCACTCTCAATGGTTCACAGCTCAACAACAACACGACCGCAGGCCAGGCGCTCGTGGTGGAGATCATCCTCACCTTCCAGCTGGCCGCGTGCATCTTTGCGTCCACGGACAACCGGAGGAACGGCAATGTGGGCTCCCCAGCACTCTCCATCGGCCTCTCTGTCGCTGTTGGCCACTTGGTGGGGGTGAGTGTCCAGGCAGGAGGACAGGGCAGAGTGTCCTGCTTAGGAGGGGGGTCCCCAAAATACTCTCCTGCAGTTGGTCCCCGAGGGAGCTGCGCTGGGAGGACTGACACGGGACATACCGGGGGATGATGATGAGGGATCTCCAGTTCTCTCCAAGAGAGACAGCGTCAGGAGCTGCTTCAGCCCCCGGTACTGCAAAATTTCTCACATCCACCACGTGATGTGTCGCATCTTAACCTGGTCTCCTTTCCACGCTGACAGATCTACTTCACTGGCTGCTCCATGAATCCAGCCCGGTCCTTCGGGCCTGCGGTCATCGTGAGGAGGTTCAGCCCCGCGCACTGGGTGAGCATCGGCAACTGGACGAGAGGTGCCAAATGTGGGCAACAAGGGGAGAGGGCAGCGACTGCTACTGGGATTACAGGGCTGGGTGTTTCAGAGCCCATGCTAGGCCTGAAAGGACAAAAAAAGGGCTGGAAAACAAGAGAGGTTGTTCTCCCTCGATGCTTGGGGAACAGCTTATCCCCATGACACCGAGACAGACGGGACAAGAAGGGTGCATGCTGAGCTAGGGTGTTATCTGAGGTCCTTAAAGCCCGCAGAGAAGCCCGGTTTAGGCTTTCCACTCACCCAGCACTGCCTGCGAGCTTGCAGAGCGGGCTTGGTGCCTCCTTTCCAGCTCACCACATCTCCACACTTATAAAGAGATAGAGGTCTTCAGCAAGCAAAGGTTGAGGGGTTTTCAGCCCAGGAAGTCCAGTGGAAGGGGTATTTGCCTCTCTCCATGGACTAGGAGGTGTGGAGCAGTGAGGGATGCTGGCGTGATGGCTGGACCTGGTGCATGGGCCTCCAAGAGCCGCTCTCACCCTCTCCCTTGTCGCTTTCTAGGTGTTCTGGGTTGGACCCATCCTCGGCGCTTGCCTGGCGGCTCTGCTCTACTTCTACGTCCTCGTCCCTTACTGCATGAACATGTCAGACAGGGTTGCCATCATTAAGGGCACCTACGAGTCAGAAGAAGAGTGGGAAGAGCAGAGAGAGGAGAGGAAGAAGTCCATGGAGTTGACCCCACCCTAGGAGCAGTTGAGGAAAAAAAAAAAAAAGTAAAAGGAAGGGAGGAAGCCCCACACATGGGCTCATGTGTGCACCAAAGCTAGGCAACGACCACATCCAGCTACAGTAGACTCTTACGCAAAAGTCTTATAACTCCACGACCATCTGTGACCAAGAAAGAAAAGAGTATTGCCGTGTCTGTGTATATAATCCCTCTACGTGAGTGTGAGCGCTAGAACTTCTCCAAGCTTAACTGCAGCCAGCTAAGCCCAGCGCAGGAGTCTCAGCCCAGGTTCTACGCCCCTCTGGGCTGCGCCCCCGCCCTCCATGGTGTGAGCTTTGCACAGTTTTCAGAGAGAATGCAGGATTTCACCCTGCACCTGACGGCCCAGGGGATAGAAATACCCTGTAGAGACCAGCGAAGAGGAATGACCGCTTTGGGCAGGTGGGTGCAGCAGAGTCCCCCGCTTTCTCCCCGCCGCAGGGCCCGCGCTGCTCGTAGACGCTCTTTCATGCATTAGCTGGTGCTGGTGAGCCCTATTTATTCGTGGCCGCGGAAAGACCATGATTTTTGGAGTTTGTGTCGAGATCGTTGTAATATAGTATATTATTTATTGTGAAATAAAGGAAATTTTAAAAATAGCTGCAGTTGCAAACCTGCTCGGGTATCAGATTTTAGGAGCAGAAGTGGGTTAAGCTGGTTGCAAAGACATCCCAAAGAGCCAGGGCAAAAGCAAGTACCTCAAACATAACCTTCAGCCCAAACATAAGGAAATATTTCTTTACTGTGAGGGTAAAGGAGCACTGGAATAGGCTGCCTAGAGAGGTTGTGGAGTCTCTGTCTCTGGACACTTTCAAAACCCACTTGGACATGTTCCTGGATGATCCTACTCAGACAGAGCGGTTTTACTGGATGATCTTCAGAGGTCCCTTCCAACCCCGACTGTTCTGTGATTCTGTGACCCCAAGTCCCGTGGCAGCTGGCACCAGGGGCAGATGTTTTGGGAGGCGGTAGCCGTTCATCCTGAAAAGGAGAGATGGGCACCAGTGCTGGAGTGGGGCAAGAGCAGGAGGTGTCTAACGTCTGTGTCCCAAGTCCAGAGCAGTCTGAAGCCCATCATGCGCTTTGCTGGCTTGACTCAGGCATGGCTTTCTGCCCTTCCAGTTCTCCCAGACGGCTCCATGGGTGTCCTCAAAAACTGACCCACAACGCTTCCCAGCTCCCTCACCAGGTGCCAAACCCACACCTTCGCCCTGACCTTCTGCTGTAGCCCTGCTCTTCTAGTTCTGCCACAACTCTCTGCCAAAGCAGCTCGCTCTCGACCTGGGCACTGGGACGCCGCATGCTGGCACCATCCCAGCCGTCCCTCTCTCCTGCTCCCTCAATCTTGTGCAAAGCTCTGCCATCACAGCCCCTCTTCTTGCCGTAAAGATGAGGTTTCCACCAGACACCGACCCCTGAGGAGGTGAGAGATGCTCGCCCGGTTGTGTTGCGATCCCCAATGCAGCTTGATCCTCATCAGACAGGTTACGCCGCCTTTGCGTGGCGGTGCGGGGAGGATACGCGGCATCACCTATATTTTAGCACGCCTAAGCAGATTTGCAATCCAGGCTGTGTCACTGGATCAGCCTGGCTGGCAGCAGACCCTCATTTCCCTGTGCCCGGCTCCTCCAGTTCTCAACAGAAGAGTCTGGTGGCAAGCAGGAGGAGAAAAAGAGGTGGAAAAAGCCTTAGTTTGGGACACTAAGATCAGCAGCAGAGCCAGGAACCTAAAAATGCACCCAATCTCAATCTTCCCACCACACCAAGGGGCTGAGTTCTATGACTTTTTCATGCCTCAGTTTCCCCCTTTGTAAGGGGGAAAAATACGAAGCCACTTTCTCATTGGGAAAGGGCAGTGTGGTCACACATGGCGTGGGAGATGTTCTACAGACACCAGCTTCAGAGAAAGATTAAAACTACTCCAGACGCCCAAGCCACCCCTCTCAGAGTGACCCCCAGTGGCTGGTTGGCATCCCCAAAGGCTGCACCGCACAGTCTCCTTCCTCTGCACCCCTAGACCCTGAAGACACATCCAACGGGTGCAATTCCAACCCCCTGTGAGCAGGGAATCCTGGGCATCCCCCTCATTTTGCTGCTCTAAACCCCATCCACTCCAGCACTGGAGGAAGGATCCGGGGGTCCCGGCACAGCCCGCCCCGCAGCGGGACTCAGGGGACACTGCAGCACCCCATGGAGGGCCCCAGCCCACGCCAGCACCGCCAGCCTGATCAACAACCCGGAGAAGAAACCCAGCCTGGGTGTGAGCCCTCCACGGGGATGAATCAGAAGATCCTGCCGCAGCAGCTTTGCGTCAGCGCAAAAAGCATCCAGGGCCCGGCTCGACAACACGGGCAGGATGGCCCCACGCAGCGCTGGGGTCGGAGGAAAGGGGTGTATGTGGGGGAGGACACATCAGTTAACCCCTTTCCTCAATGCACAGGCAAGGAGGGACCCTAAATCAAGGGGTATACGCAGGCTGGAGCCCCGTGAGTGTGCCGGTGGTGCCGGTGGCATCTGTACATGGCGCAGGGGTCAGCGCTGGCCCCAGTGTGCGTTCCCCATCCGCCTCCTCGCCGACCCAGCTGGCGTTTAATCCGGGTGGAGAGGCTGCCTTTAATCCAGAGAAAAGCCTGGCATCCAGCAAGCGCCGTGACCTCGGGCACGGGGCAGAGCCCAGGTCGTGGCTGGAAACCCTGAGGTCCTCCTGCCTGTTCTCACCTGCCCAGAAATGGAAGAGCAGAGCTTACAAACAAATGGAGAAATACGTTTTTTTTCTAACATTCCAATTTGTTCAGCCTTGTTTTTAATGGGATTGTTGCTGCTGCCTGCCTCTGTATCAGAAACAGTC